CAATGAATGCGCCTTATCGAATTTTTCCAAGAGTGACTTATGAGAATATTCAAAAGTCATTGGGATTTAGGAATTATCGTCACATTGCCCACTACTTTAAGGAAAGAAATATCGAAGAAGAAGGGGTAAGAGATTCGTTCTTTGACATGCAAGCTGGTCATGCACGAAGTACGGCTTTGTTAATTTATGGTCGCACTTCCGATAATTTGAAAAACTTGCCGGCGGATTTTTTCACAAACTTTTTTCGGACAAGTTTTCGATGGCAAGAGCTGTTAGAAATCAAAGGAAATAGCAGTGGTGGATTCATAATTGAAACCTGCAAGCCACAAAACAAAATTGACCAATTATTGGAAAAAATTGACGAAATAGAAATGACGCAACAACGTTTGTTGGTATGGAAAGCGAAAGCGCCGACACAAGCACAAACTTAGATGCAAATGCAAATGCAGTACGGCGACAATTATGAAAACACACATGTCGTCGAAAAAGATATTCGTGGGCAAGGACAACAAGGTCAAGAGCTGAATTTGAATCAAGCAGCCGTTGCTATTGTTCCAAGGACAATGACAAGGATTGGGACTGGGACTGGGACTGGGACTGGGAATGAGGAACAGCAATCGCAAAGTAACCCAAGTTTGTATGCACCATCGCCATCACCATCACCATCTATGTGTCCATCTCAATCGACGATTCGACTTTGCGTGTATGCTTTATCAAAGTTTTATGGTAAACCATCAAAGTTTCGTTCTATGGAGCAACTTCAGTCTGTCTATTTTTCGTATTTAAAACGTGTCAACTTGATCTCGGTACTTGCAACAGGTTCAGGGAAATCTCTGTCTTTTTTATTGCCTGCCTTTATTGAAAAGAAAAAGCGGACTGGACTTATTACTGTCGTTTTGGTACCTCTCATCTCTCTACGGCAGGATATGGCACGAAGAGCAAACGAGGCGAGAACTCTGGTTTGTTCTAATGACTGGAAAGTATATAAGCGGACTCCGCCAGATTCATCTAATCTACCGGATATGTTTATTCTTTCTTATGACTCGGCATTGACGAACGAAGCACTGTGTTTTTTTGAGAGTCTGGCTGCCAATGGACGGCTAGCCCGCATTGTTATTGATGAGGCACATAGTTTGTTGACAGATGGCAGTTGGAGGCACGTGTTGTGGAAAGCGTCGAGATTGTCTGGGATTGCGGCGCCAATTATTCTTCTTAGCGCTACGTTTCCCCGTGAATTAGAGGTTCGTGCTAGCGAGACGTTTTGTACGCATTTTCAAGTAATCAAAACATTAACGGCTCGAAAAAACATTCATTACTTATTAAAGCAGCTTGACAAGGAACACTTTTTAAGCGATCTCCGCGACTTGATGATAAGAGCCAGAGTTTTCGAAGGAAATGGCCGAGCAATTATATTTTGCAGGACAAAGAAAAATGTGGAGGAATTGCGAGTAAAAATAAACTCTTCAGAAAGGATTGAAACTTGTGCCGTTTCGTATACAGGAGATATGGCAGAGGAAGAACGAAATATATATTTCAATATGTTTACAGACTTGGAAAGCAATGACAACCGTATTATGGTAGCCACGAAAGCTTTTGGGCTTGGTATTGATTACCCGGAAGTGCGTCTTGTAATGCACTATGGGTCACCTTCAACGTCTATGGATTTTGCTCAAGAAACAGGTCGTGCTGGAAGGGATGGTAAATTTTCGATTGCTGCTATGTTTTACAGCAAGTATGAAGTGTCTACATCAGCGTATATTGACGTTAGGATGAAAAATTTCGTTGAGGACAAGTCAATGTGCGTTCGGTCGTTTTTAGCAAGTGAGATGGATGGTCAATGCAGTGGCTGTGATTTTATGCCTGACTATGTCGTTTGTTCTCGATGTAACCCGGGATTGCTGGATGAAAGAGAAAAAGAAAGAGAAGAAGAGCAGCTCTCTGTTGAGAAGGACAAGGACAAGGATAAGGACAATGATAAGGACAATGAGACATTGACACCGACACGGAAGAAGATTATTGCCAATGGATCACCACCCACACCGCAAAGTGCTTGTTCTTTAGATGCTTTTTCTGCTGATTCGAGGTTGATGGATTGCACAATCTCAAAAGATAACAAAGAGCGTGGTGGTAGTTTTAGTGAGAATGCTGTTGAAGTAATCTCATGCAGCCAATCTGGATTGCCTGCTCGTGGTGGTAGTCATGGTCATGGTCATTCAAATAGAGTCACCCCAGTAAGTTCGACAAGCAAGACAGATGTTTCTAGCAGCAAATCAGGTCATTCTGAAACAACTTTATTCTCGTCGCCGACACTATCGAAAAGCACTAACGTTAGAAAACGTTCGTTTCTAGAAACTCATGGCGATGGTGATGATGATGATAATAATTTGCACAAGAAGAATCAACTGGGATATGATAATCGGTGCGAAGGTGTTAAAAGGCATTGGATGGCCAGTTTGTCAAAGCCAAGTTTGTTGGAAAAGTTTTTCAGAGAATTTGGAAAGGAATGCATATCGTGTTTTGTTGAACAAGGTGGAGACCGATCTGTAATACACAAGAATACATGCCCTTTAGAGGTAAAAAGATGCTTTCGATGCCGACAAAAAGATCACACGAGATTCAAGTGTCCGTATGATTTTCAGTTTTCGGGAGCTTGTTTGTATTGTGGATTGACGAAATTTGAACATTTAGAAGAGGATTTCCCGGACAAGTCAAAGTGCAAATCGTGGGCTAGGGGAAAACTTGGCAAAGTTGCTTTTTTTGCTTGGAGCAATGCGAATTATAAGCAAGCGATTGCTAATGAATTTCTAGAGGGGAATTTGGATGATCAGAATTTTTTTAACTTTATTTGTCAGCCGAGTGGCGTGACATCTGAATTTGTGAATGTTGTTTACTTTGTAGTGAGTGACATTCTTAATGCTCTTTGAGAGGATTGAGACTTGGATTTGAACTTGAACTTGAACTTGAACATTTCAAACATGCAGAGTGGATCTAGAAAGTTTTAAAGATTTTATGAAACAACATCAAATGTGTTGGTGTTGGTGTTGATGTTTATGAAAAACTATGAAACATGAAATATGAAATATAAAATATAAACTTGGTTGAATTATAATAGTTTCTATAATGTCGTTAAATTGAATGATGAAGAATGAAACTGTTTATTAGCAATAAAAAACCAAGCAATTATCTTTAGAATAGGATTAGAAGGAATAAGAAAGAATCAGTTATGTTAGGTATAGAATAGAACTATCTTGATAGTAAAATAGAAAATTTTACTAGGATTTATTTTCGTTTACACGTCTAAAAATTAAAAAAAAAAGTTCACTTTAGATCTCTGAGGAGAAACAAAATTGAATCACTTGTAATAAAAGTAAACTAGCAGTAATAAGGTAGTAAGTTGGTTGTATAAATTTTGTTGAAATGGAAATAGGCAAGGTAAACAAAACAGGCTTGAAACAAAAAATAGTTGACGAAATTTTTTTTCTAAAGTATTGTATTCTTATAAATAAACTAACTATGTTGTTTTTTGTTGTCGTTTC